CTCGCTCGGGGCGGGGGGTGGGAGAGAGCGGGGAATCGATTTGCAGCTGAAACGCTGACGCCGCGCCCAGCCGCTGGCTCCACCCCGACCTGCGCGCGCGGGGGGCGACCGGACTCCCGCCCGGCACCCACAGCCCCACCCCGCCCCGCGGTCCCACCCTTTCCCGCTCCCGCCCAACTTTCTTCCTCTTCCGAAGTGTTCGGAACCTGAGGCTGACGCTCTTCTTTAGAGGGTTAGTCACTGTGCCCCCTGTCTTGCTAACCCCACCCCACACTCGGGGACTCTAGAAAGAGGATGTCAACTTTCGGGCTCCTCACGCCTCGGGAGTGGAAATGCGTGGCCGACTCGGAAACCGGCCACTGGTGCTGCCTTCTTCGGTCGTCGTGTCGCCGAAAGTTCTCGAGAGAAACAAAAAAATCCTGGAGAGACCTGGGGCCGCACCAGCCAGGGATAACCAGATTTTATTCACGTCGCTTTGTAGCCTCGAAAAAACCCTGGAATCGAAAAGCAAGTCTCAGTATTCTGCTGTAGTAGGACGCAATCCGATAGCTTATTATCTGGGTGCAATTGGTTGGGAGACCTCAAAATGAGGAAATGAGCTGATATGGCAACGGGGGAACTTGGGTGCGCTAAACGTGTGTCTTCGGGGCGCGCTTTCACGAGGGCGGCTGACGCGGCCACCTCCCCGCAGTGCCACCTCTGGCTTCCCGGCTGGGTGGGGCCTCTCCTGCTTGCTCCCTACACACGCCCTGCGTGGCTCCCAGCACATTCTCAGATTTCATATTTTTTTATTTATGAGTGGTTTATCTGATCACTGATTTGGGGAGGGGGGTAAAGAGAGAGAAAGCCAAGAAAGGGTGAGAGAGGAAGGAAGGAAAGAAATAGAAAGAAAAACTTCTGAGCCCTGCAGGAAGAAGACAGGAGAGGGTAGAGGAGGGTGGTAAGAAATCAGCGGGTCTTTGAATATTTGCTGTGCACTTGCTATTTGCTGGGTGCCAGGTAGTGAAGAATGCAAAGGTGAAAAATCTCCAGGGCGCTTCCAGAGGGGCCAAATAGGCAAAGGGTCAGAGGTCTGAGCAGTTTTCAGATCAGTTTGAAGTACAGACCGTCAATCAGGATAAATCAGGCAAGATCTTTGTTCTCGATAACAATGTTTACCCTTTTGTGTAACTACCCAGTGAGCTTTACAGTCTCCTCACGGAGATGTGTCATTTTCATTTTGAAATGTTTATGTCTGCTGCACAATTATCGCGCTCGTGTCAGTGTGCTGAAATAAGATCAAGCCCCAAACCAGCTCGCTTAATTACAAGTACAGATTTTGGTACTGAATATATTTCACCATTCTTGTTTTGTTCTTTTGGATAAATAATAGATGACATAAAAGTTCCAGGTTCCAATGCTGGATTTCTAGGTAGTTGTGCTACTAACCGTTGTATCAGTGTCACAGGCCTGACAGAATCAGTCTCTTTTCTATAAATCCAAGAAAAGCCTTCTTTGTATCAATTCTGAACATGTTTTTTCTTTCATTACTTTGTTCATTGAATCAGCAAATCCTGTCAGCTCTACCTTTGAAATACTTCCTCACTGTTATATATGTTTCACCATCTGCCTGTCACCACCCTGAAACAAGCCACCATCACCTCTTGCCTGGATTACCGCATTGGTCTCATAACTGTTACCACCTTTACCACTGTTATAATCCAAGTCAGATAAGTCACGCTGCCCGGAGTCCCCCAGTGGCTTTCCATCTTACACAAGAGCAAAAACCAAAGTTTGCAGTGGCATGCAAGACTTTACATGTTTGGAGCTGTCCCACTAGCACCTCTCTGCCCCACCTCCTGCCCCTCTCCCAGCAGTTGACTGGCTATAGCCATATAGGCCCGTCCTGTTTTCTCAGGGCCTTTGCATTTCTTTCTTTGCCTGAAAGGCTCATTCCCAACCCTCTGCTCCTCCTTCCCCCCCACCCCCGTATCTTCCTCACCTTGTTCAGGTGCCTCCCCTCCCACCTTCCACAGGTCTCCACAGCAAGACCTTTCCTCAATCACCCTGTTTAATGCGGCACAGCCCCGCTCCAGCAGCTTCCCTTCCCTGCCATATTCGTTGACTGTTTCCCCATGTTGGAATGTAAAGTCCAAGAGTTCCAAGATTTCTGTCTACTTGATTCAAGCTACATCCTCAGTACATAGAACAGAGCCAGCACACTACAGGCATCGGATAAATAGCTCACTCATTTATTCCACCAATATTTATTCAGTGCCTACTACTATGTTCCAGGAAGCATGTTAAAAAATGATCACTGCCCTCTTGGAGCCTACAGTGTTGTGAGGGAGACAGGTAATACATATATAGATAAATAAGTCCATTTCAGGTAGTGTTAAATGTCACAAAGAAAATAAAATTGTGAAATGAGATAGAGGAACTGATTGTGGGGATACTACTTTATATAGAGTGCCTGGGGAAGGCCTCTCCATGGGAGTGACATTTGAGCTGAATGATAAGAAAGAGACAGCTATAGGAAGTTCTGGAGGGAGAACATTCCAGGCAGAGGGCCTAGCAAGTTAAAGGGTTACGAATGAGTTTAGTACATCTCACAGTAGAAGTTTATGTGTTTTATCATCTGCTTGTATCCTGTGAATCTCCAAACTACCATGGAAATGATCAATATAAACTCAAATGTGAAAGATACTCCGTGCTTATACCCAAAGTACTGTCATTCTCTACCTCTTGATATAAAATATTCATCCACCGCAAGCTAGTCTACTGCAGAAAAGCCATTGGTATTTCCTTATAGAAACCAGGTTGTGCGTGAAAGACATAATAATGAATGTGACAGGTGATTTGAGACTGAAGGAATAATTTTATGGTTAATTTTGTGTGCTCTCTTTCTTGCCGATTGGTTGATGTCACAAAATTCAAGAGAAATACAACTGGGGAACTTTGATGCTGGGATTTGAGAGCCTGAGTATGGGAGGAAGGGAGTCATAACCCTTTAGCATCTCCAGTATGTTAAATATGCTTAAATGGAAGTGGGTATAGGAGGATTCGGAAAACCTTATCCCTGTGTTTAGTCTCAATCTAGTTTCTGGTGATGGATACACTGATGGTCATTGTTCCTTTTCAAATGGCTCTTTATACTTTCCTAAATAAGAGACTGTGCATTCCAAGCACTCTGTCCTTTGATCCTAAAATGTATGATATTGGAAATGTCTTTGGACCTAAGTTCTCATCCCAATTGTATCTTCCTCCCCACCTACTATCTTTTTTCTTCCAGCCAGCTTCCCTTTCCATCCCCCACCAAAGTACTTAGTAAATATACTGTGTATCAAAAATTTGAGAAAAAGGATGAGGAACATTAAGAGAAATATAAAGTTAAAAGGGAGGAAGAACTGGGGTAAAATGAACTGAGCGCCTCTGAGGATTGAATGAATTTAATATATGTGAAAATGATCTGTAAGCTGTAAAACACCATTCAAGTGTCAGAATCATTATTTTCCACCATCTGTCATGGTGCCTGACAAGTCTGCTCAATAAATACTGAATGAATAAAAGCATGGCAGTAACACTAAAATGAGTGCTGTAGAGGGGAGGAGGGACAGAGTCAGAAATTGCCCTAAACAAATGTTTAGTTCATTTATCATCCTCCCAATTTGTGTGAATCTTTTCTGGCTTTAAAAATCATTGGCTTTTTGCATTCAGAGAAAGAAAAGAATCGGACACAGAGATAACATTAAGTTTAAGTAAATCAGGAGGCAAATGATCTTGATAAAGCTTTGACTAAAGATATGACAATATCTAATCTTAAAAAAAGAGAGAGAAAATATTATATGAGGGACATTGCCAAAATACTAGGTCTAGAAAATAAAGAAAATCCCAACATTGTGTGATCATCCCTATTGAATGATTTTTATACTTAATAGGACCAAACAGAAAAACAACAGTTAACCATGTTGGAAATTTTTAAATCTTTATTTCCATATCCTTACAAACATTGTTTGGAGCTTTTCCAGGAAACAAGTAATAATATAATAGCAAGCATATATGAGGGTATCTCAAAAAGTTCATGGAAATATTCCTACTATCTTTTAATTCTATTTTTCCACGAACTTTTTAAAATACCCTCACATATAGCACTTACTATGTACAAGCCCTATTTATAGAACTCTATATGCATTAACTCATTTAATTCCCACAATAACCCTGACGTTGGTACTGTTATTACCCATTTTTTAGATGAGAAGCTAAAGCACAAAGAAGTTAACTCATTTTCCCAAGATCATGCAGCAAATAAGCACCGGAGCTGGGATTTGAACCCAGTCTGTCTAGCTTTAAATCTGTGCTTTTATACACTGCATTTTATAGCCTTTCACTTCTACCACAGCTTTACACATGAGAATACTTCAAAAAGTTCATAGGAAGATTCATATTATCTTTCAATTCTATTTTTCCACAAGCTTTTTGAAGTAGCCTCATATTAAGAAGTAAGTGCTCTCTCTGCTCCCACCATCTTGCAATGTAAGACCCCTGAGTCACAGTCGCCACCACCAGATGGACTTTGGATTTCCCAGCCTCAGAAACTTTTTGGAAGCTGGGAAGTCCACAGTCCAGAGGATGCATCTGGTGAGGAACTCTACAGGATCCTTTGGTGACCAGCATATCACATGGTGAGAATTGCTATAGCAAGAGAGACTAATCTCACTTGCTTATCTCATAAAATCATCAGAACCACACCCATGACAACCCATTAAACTATCAACCCATTACTCCAAAAAAAAAAAAAAAAAAAAGAAGTAAGTTCTATTGTTTTCCCTACTTTACTGATTAAAAAAAAAAAAAAAAACCAAGGCAAAAAATGTAAGTAACTTGACCAAAATAACACAGCTATTTATCTCTGCTGGGGGCAGAAATAGTACTCTAAAGTCTATGTGCTTATGCTCTATAGTACTGGTAACCAGAAACTCAAAGTAGCCACTGTAAAAGAACCAGGATTAGGAAAGAGTTAAGTCTTTGTCTTTCATTTCTTCCTTCTGCCGTATATCGATGGCACAATCCTGCCTCCAGTGAGAATCTCTAAGAATATATTTGAGTCCATGAATAGAGCTGACACACTACTATCCTACTCTTTGACCAACTCAGTCCTGTACACACAATAAACATGACTTTATTTCTGGCTCTCTAAAATACCATTATGGTTTGCAAAGCACTAGGTTCTTAGCATGTTTATTTGGTTTTATTCTGATCTTATTAACTCTAGACAAGGATAAAGTGAAGCCATGGAAATTGCTAAGATCTTGGTTCCAGTATCCTAAAGCAAGTAGTAGCCACTGGTCTACTGGGATTCATAAAATTGAACAAATATATTGTATTTGTGGCTTTACATATCAAACTTAGCACAAAAATTGCTGGACTTCACACAAACAGGTGATTCTGGAATTTCTTACCAAAGTTAATTGTTAACAGCACTGATGTTTCATAAGAATGAGAAGGCCTTGGTTTCAAATTGTAGTATTAGACTTGGAGGTTAACTACACATGAGTTATCACATTCTAGTGCTTTGCTGTTTTGAGTGCTTTTATATTATCAGGTTCACTTAATTGTCACAACAATTTTGAGAGGTATTGTATTAGTCCGTTTCTTTTGCTTATAACAGTAATATCTGAACTGAGTAATTTAAAAAGAAACAATGTATTTATTACAGTTTTGGAGGCTGGGAAGTCCAATGTCCAGGGAGCACTTCTGGTGAGGTGACTATAGCAATGCAGGGTGTCACATGGTGAGAATGGCAGAGCAGAGAGAGACTAACCTCCTCACTGGTTCTACTTTTAAAGCCCTCAGAACCATGCCCATGACCACCATTAAACCATCAATGGATTAATCCATTCACCAGGGCACAGTCTTCACAATCTAATCACCTCTCCAAGGCCCCACATTTCAATTACCATAATAGTATCTCCTACCCTCTTAACACTGTCAGTGGGAATTAAGTCTCAATGAGCTTTGAGGGGATATCTAATCCACAGCATTCTCTCTGGCCTCTCAAAATTCATGTCATTTTCACATGCAGATACATTCATTTCATCCCCAAACTCTCAACTTGTTTCAACTCAAAAGTCCAAAGTCCAAAGTTTCATCTGTGAGATCCAAACAAGTTATCTATATTTCCAAGATACAATGGTGGGACAAACATAGAGTACATATTCCCATTCAAAAGGTAGAAATAGGCCAAAAGAAAAGCGTAACAGGTCCCAAACAAGTCCAAAACCCAGCAGGGGCAGGCATTACGCTGGTTCAGCACCTTCAGATTCCACATTCCACAAATTGAGCATGAACAGAATGCAACCAAGTTCTTTGCACGTTCATAGCAAGGGTGCACCCTACTTCTCTGGTACCAATTTTTTGTATTAGTCTGGTTTTGTCCATTATAACAGAAATACCTGAAACTGGGTAGTTTGTAAAGAAACAATATTTATTGCTTACAATTTCACAGGCTGGGAAGTCCAAAGTCCAGGAAACACATCTGGTGAGGACCTTGTTGATAGTGACTTGACACAGCCATGCAGGGCCTCATATGGTAGATGGCAGAGCTGAGAAAAAACTAACCTTTTAAAGCCATTGGAACCACACCCATGACCCCCATTAAACCACCAACTTATTACTCAGTGAATGGATCAATGCATTCACTAGGCATGGTCCTCACAATCCAAACACCTCCTAAAGTCCCCCCCCTTTCAATTACCATAATAGGATTTCC